GTTCCCTGCTACAGGCATGGTGAACGCTGGAAGGTTTTAGTAGTGCATACAACTTGAAAAGGCAAGCATAACAAAGAGAATTCTTGAGTTATGATTTTAGGTATGCAAAGCTCCCTCTTCTTGAAAACACAGTAGTGAACCCAGTGAACAGCCTTGAGATGACAGTATAAGCAGACACTTAAAAGACCCACTTCATCTGAATTCTCCAAGTCATTGAAACTCAATACGCAGTTAGAAGTGTGGTTAATTTTTATACTCAGCTTTAAAAGCTAAGATAGTGCTAGAATGAGAATTAATTTTGTAGTGCCTTGCTTAAGGTGACACCTGTAAAACTTACAAATACAGGTGTATGTTTCTTCTTTTTTTGTCTTGCTTTGACAAAAAGCATATGCATGTTATTGATCGTGAAATTTTTTTTTTGTTTAAAAAAAAAAAGGTAACAGGAGATGATAAATCACTATCTGGAGCTTCATCTGAGCATCATCATGGAGTGGGGGAGGATGCTTGGTCTAAAAGTAGAGATAAAACAACTCTCTTTAGTCTGAGCAATCCTGTGGATGATTGTGCTGAAATGGAAGCGTCTTCAGAAAGCATACCTGGAGAGAGTTTGGAGAAAATGGATGTCAGCAGAGAAAATAGTAACTTCTCTACCAGGTCAGACCAAACTACTTTGGAGTATCATGATGCAAAATCACCTGGCGATTTTGAAGATGATGTTATCTTTATAGCTGCTAAACCAGCTAATTATTCCACTGAAGAAACTGCTGATTTTCAAGAATCGGAGAACGGAGAAGACAGTGAAATTGTTGAAGATAAACCTTTCCAGATGGAACAACCAGATTCATCAGACCTAAGAAAAGAAGTTGGTGTGTTTCATTCTATGATAACTTAAATTTCTGAGTTTTTCAAATGTTTTCAAAAAGTTAAAGTACTGATGAGTGCAACAGTTAACAATGAGTGTTCACAAGTGTCCCAGGCACTTCCTTGTCCTAGGCTTTTAAAATTGCCACTCTGTTTTGAGTCCTTTTTTAGGTATCCTGGACATTATGTATGTATACTGCTTTTGGCTGGCATTTCTTTTGAGTAATTGCAGCTAGGAGGCAGCAGTGACTTGTGGGAGTTTTGAGAGGGATTCAAGTCGAAAACTTAGGCTTCTGGTTATGTTTTAGGGGTACTTCTGTAGGATGCAGGATTTTACAGCAAGGCTAGTGTATGGCGTGCTTTGACTAGATAGAAAAAGAAAGGAAAAAAAAAATCTGACAACCTCATTAGTGCTCAGTTAAATAGTTTTCTTCTGGAAGCGAGTCTGCTTGTGTATCTGCTTCTCATTACAGCTATGCCTGCTCATTTTTCTGGCTCAACAGCTTATGCAGCCTTTTCCAAACCTATTTCACTTGGTCTTTGGTAATTCGGCTCAATTCAACTGCTTCAAGCCAGTCCAGCTGCCGAGGATGTGTTCATATGAACAGGTCTGCTGGCAGATTAGAAGAGATGTATCTCACTAACTGGTGAGCAGTGATGAAGAGTTGGGAATGAAAGTAGTGCAGGAACAGGGAGAAGATGTGCAAACACAGCTACAATCAGTGTTTGACAAACAGAGCTCAGTCTGTTCAACTCTCTAGAAAAAAAAGTTTGCTATTCCTGGGACGACATGCATGCAAGTGTCAGAGGTCTGTGTCTCAGGTCTTGAAACAGTTCATAGCAGCGAGTGTGTGCTCCGGTATCAGTGCATCATATGTGTCCTGATTCAGTCCTAAGTCTGAGATGATTCTGGGGGATCCTAGAGAGTGATTGTTGCTATTGAAGTTCCTTAGCTCCTTTTTAAATAACAGGAGTGCCCAGATACAGACTCCGTGTACATGGGTAAAAGGGATTCTCCAGATCTGAGTGCTTCTAGTAAGACAGGTCAAAACATTTGCCTGTCCTATTTTAGATGTCTTGTATTTGGAGAAGAAATCAAAGGTGCTTTTCATTAAAAACAATGATAAGGTATTAATCATTAAAGAATAACCTTATAAAGAAACTTTTGTTATTGCTGGACTATGATACAAGCCGTTCCATACAATTTCAGTGCTCTGGAAACATTAGAGGGCAGGCAGTATAGCTCTTGTTTGGCCTGAGCTAGCAAAATTATCCCGGTCCTGCATACTGTCTGCCAAGTTGATTGCTGGATCTGGAGGAAGCAGACAGTAGAAACAAAGAAGAAAAGAGGGATGTTTCTAAAATTGAAGCTGTTGAGATAAAAACAGGTTAGCAAGCAGTTGGGGAGAAAAGAACAAGAAAAGACCTTAGATGCGCTCTTGTAGAAGAGGGGCAACGGAGTCAAGAAAGGAAAGAAGCATTGCTGGAATGAGAAATAAGAAAACTTACTACCCGATTTTAAGAAGGAGGGATGTTTTCTGAAGTTTTTATGTATTAGGTCAGTAATATCAAGTTTAGTTTGTAAACAGAGTATCTATGGTCATTTTCTTTTGTTGTCTGAAATTATGCATCAGACCTTGTTTTACTGGAAAGAAGAATTCAGACCTTCTGTGCATTAGAAGTCTTGGTAGCATTATTTTGTTAGATCGCTATCCTAGATGAGATGCATAAAGGCTCACTCGAAAATCATAGGATCATTTTAAAAGAAACAATGTTAAGTGCAATAGAGAAGTCGTCCATCTGTCTGTTTTTGTAGGATTTGTGGCAGAATCAAATGCTGAATGTCTTACCCTTCCCGAGGATGGTAAATTGGTGTTTAAAGCTGCTGAGGCTGCTACGTTTGGGACTGCAAGTGAAGGGTAAGTTTATAAAATAGATAGGTCTTGGGGTTCACGCAACATGTAACTGCTGGCTTTCCTGTGTTTGAAAACTATGATTTTGACCTGGTGTTGGTTCTTTCCTGTGTTCTTATATCTAACGGCTTTTCTATTCCTTTCTGTCTGTGAACAGAACTAACTTGGCATGAATGTAAGTCAAATTGACTAGCTGCCAATTTGAATCTTTTTTTCTCAAATCATTGCAGACCCCAAAGTATGGTGATAAAGACTTCATTCAACAGGCTATATAAACCTCTTTACAGTTGGAGGGTTACTAAGCAGATACTATGAACATAAGCCCTGCTTTTGTCTGAAAATTGTGTGGCTAAAAATTACACCTGAGATTCCTGTAAAGTTAGGGAGTTTATTTTGGGGTTTGAATACTTTCTGGCAGTATTTTATACACTTATTTTCTGTGTATGCTCAACTAGCATCTATTGGTTTATGGAAAGGGAAGCAGTTTTTTCACCAGATACTTTAAAAGCTGCAACTGCTTAGTGATAAAGACAGAACGTTAGCAATGAAATAACCCTTAATTTCAAGTGGTAACATACACTGGTAGAAACTTTTGTTCGGTTTGTTCTAAACCTCCAGTACAGCAGTTGCACTCTTTCTTTGCACAGAAGACAAGTAGTATATTATTCTTTAATAGAACTCTGTTGTTATGTTAATATCTAGTGTTAAATAGCTGGGAAGAACGTGAAGTACTTGATTCATTGCATAAAATGAGTCACAAATTGAATGTAGATAAGTTGGTAAAGGAATTTCTAATTTTTCTTAATTTTTGTCTGTTTTGAAACTTGAAGATTTTACAGTGAGAAAGTAATTTGTAAAGCTCCTCAAGGTTTGTTTTGAAGCTTTATGATGAATTTCTCTCTTTCTGTTCATGAAGTGAAACAAACCACCAAGAGTCCAAAATGTCCTCTGCATCAGAAGAAAAAGCCATACCAGCTGCAACAAATCCACAGCTTTTCGAATCCCCGGAGGCAGACAGTGAATGTATGTACAGTATGTTGGAGATGTTATGTGAGTTAAGGTAGCTGAACTCCTGAAGTAAAATGTGTAGTTTGCCGTACCACTACAGGTGTCTCAGATTAAAGTAGTACTAGCATGTTACTGCTAACTTTCATTAAACTGTGGAGAGAATACCCTCCTCAAAGGAAGTCCTTGTAGAAAATGCATGGGGAGTGTTCCTGTTCTTGGTAAAGATATTGAGAAATTAGAAGGAGAGTATTTATTTTAATGTTGCACACCACTACTAATTTGTGTGCTATGGGATCTGCTGCTTGAGTTACTATCTAAAAAGATGGTGCATTCTCAGTATTCAGGCTGTGAAGAATAACTAGCTATCAGCGTGCCTTTGCAGCCACCCTTTCCTCTGTAGTTCTTTTTCTCTATGGACTTGCCAGCTGATTTTCCCCTTCCTCCCTTTTATTTTTTAAATTTTTTTATTGTGGGGCTGCCTCCTTTACCAGGTGGATAGTTCTGGCTTCTAGGTTTTGGAGAAAGCCCAATGTATGTGGCAGGATAGAGAACTGTATTGTTGGCTGCTGCTCCCTCTGTTACTTCCTGTTGCTTAAACCCATGTCATTGATACAGTAGTTAAGTTAAAATTGTATAATTCTCTTCCAGCTGTGATAAGTATCCTTGACAGTGAGGATGTGGTCAATACTCATTCAGAAAATCCCCTTGAGGGGAAGTGTGTGGATTTACCTAAAGAACATAACCTAGAAGCAGCTGAAGTTGAAGAAAATGTTCCTTTCCTGCAGGAAGAAATAACTGTTTCTAACAATCTTCCTAAAACTGAGGAAATTAATGTAAGTAAATTATTCTCTCATGTTCTACAAAATAGAAGCCACTTTGCAAATTGAGGACAGCCCTGTCTTACTGACAATTAGAAGGCATACATAAATGTCTCGGTTTCTTTAGCTGGTTAACATAAGTTAAAGCCTCATTATGTAAGGGCAGATAGATTTTTCTCCTATGCATTTTCTGTACCTATAACACAGAATAGAACCTGTCAGGACTTTGGCCTTTGAGAGCTGTAGTAGCACAAAAAAAAGCGCCTAACCTATTTTTTAAAATAACCATGAATTCATTCGGTTTACTAGAACGTAAATGTTTCTTATTTGACTTAAAAAAGAAATAGTTTTAATGTTAAAGACAATAAGAAAAGTTGGGGAGTGCAGCTTTTCAATACTGGGACCATTTACCAAATGACAAAATGATGTGGGAACCAAAGTTATTTTCAGAATGATTTAGGTGCTTAGATCCTTTCCTATTTGTTCCTTATTAACATAAACAGAATTCCCAATAATGAGTTAATTTCAGTGTCAAGATATTTCCAGCTACTTAAAACTTTTTTTTTTTGTAAGACCATGTTCTTTTAACATCTAAACTCTGTACAATACGAATGTTAAAAGGTTGTTGACATGGACTGAAAATTGGAACTAGAGGTTCTCCAGGTTTCCCAGGTTTTTCCCCATTGTTCTTTCTTCTACTGGGGCTGGTGAGTTATCTGGATTCTTTGTGGTTGTCCTCTAAGTACCATATAGAGCATACTGTCAGTTTCCTGTAGGCTTATACTCACAGGAATCAATAGTAGCTGGAGTGAAACACAAAGTGAAAGGTAGGCGTACCACAAATAGATTGGTCTTAAGTAAGAGAAAATGCTTTTCAGCGTTCCAGATTTCCAATGAAGTTAAGTAGGCAGTCACTTCTTTAGCTCGCCTCAGCTTTGGGATTTCGGACAACGCTGTAGAGAAGATGCTTCTAGACTTGGGAATACATAAATCACTTACGGGAGTAAATGGAAAATTTGTGATGGGAAGAAGGGAGCAGGGACAGGAGACGGTCACCAAGCTTCTGCAGTCATTCATGTAGCAGTACAGTGAAGGCTCTTCTGCTTTCGTTATAACTGGTTCTTACTGATTTGTATGTAAACACCTGGTTTTGGCTTGTCTACCTTCACTGAATTTGGGACAAACTTCTTAGTGCTGTCTTGTTTGTAGATTTGTAAGCATAAAGGGAAAGTTTATGCAGACTAGTATTTCTTGAATTGAGTTTCGAAGCATGGCACGTTGCTATACGATGATGCTCAGCAACTTTTGACAAGGCAGGAGGCAAGAAAATAAGCAGATTCTATGGAGACTCCTGTTGAGTGGCTTCTTCCCTCTGCCTTCGTTGGCTAGCACTAGAACTTAGAGGGCTGGGCAAAGGTCTTTACGCATTGATTAAATTGGCTTGACCGTGTGAGTCACTTGGCAGACGTCACAGATACTACTTTTGTGCTCACCATAAAAGCTTGAGTATCTCATGTGGATCTAGAAGGAAAGAAGAATGGCTCGGTACAGGGAACTACAAAACATGAGATGGAGGTATTTAGAATGTATGTGCTGTCTCTTGCAACCCAAGTGATTCCTTAAAGTGCAGCGCTGAGCTGTCGCATGTGATACGTGGCCACTTTGACTACCTGTTGCCGTCACAACTGTCGTGACTGAAACGTTAAACTTTGGGGACATAATTGTATTTTAGCCTGTTAGATGCAGAGCCGGTCACTCGTGTGTGGATCTGTAGTCAGTCCAGAAATTACGGCAGTGTGGTGATTACTGCCAGTGGTGTACACAGCTTGTATGGTAAAACCGCTCCCTTTGCTCACGGGTGGTGGCAAATCGTTAGTCGTGAACAGAAGTATCAGAAATGGAGCATGGGATTGCATACACTGAATACTCTGTGCTCTGTCCCGTAAACGCATTAAGGGACTCTCACTGTAACCGTAGTAGAGAGTCCATGGTCTGTTTCTAACTTTACATGCAGTGGTGATCTGAAAGGAGAAGCAGCATTTCACTGTCCTCAGTTTGAAGTTAGTCTGTTTGGTAATTAATAATGGAATAACAGACGTTTTTTAACTTCAGGTTATTGAAGATGGTGCGGTTAAGGCACAAACCTCAGAGGAGGCACCTGAACCATCACCGTATAGTGAACTACACCCATCAGGCGCTCTTCAATGCAGCTGTGATACTATCGAGCAACAGTTTGCATGTGATTTGCCTGCTAATGAAGATGGTGAATGTGATGCGGCTGAGGGAGATGGAGAGCTTTTTATATCTCAGAGTAATTTTACTTTAGTCTTGGAAGGTGAAGAAGGTGAAACGGAAGTGGGAGACCCTCCCTTAGTAGATGCTTCTAAACTGGCTGGCACAACAGGAGAGGAGAAGCCTGTGAACAACAGTTTGGGAAATACTGAAAGCCAAGAACATGTTACAACCTCAGTGTCCACTGTAACTAGTGATCAGGAATCTCAAAATACTGCAGAGTCGCTCCCATATGTGCCTGAGCCCATTAAGGTAGCTATTGCTGAGAACTTCCTGGATGTAATGAAAGACACAAGAAGTAAAGAATTTACATCTGAAGTTGTAGAACAATCTACTCATGAAACCATAGGTAAGAAGGTAACTAGATTCCAGAAGGCAAAAGCTCCCTTAACAACTGTGCCAGAAGGAGCGGAAGATGAAACCAGCGTGCATCAAGTAGAGTATGTCATCACTCCTAGAACACGCGCAAGGGGACGGCTGAGTAGAAGTCAAAGTATTCCATGGGCAGGCGATCAGCAACTACTGAAGACAGACAAACCAGTTTTGTTAGGACTGTCTCCTAGGAGAAGTACCAGGCGAAGAAAAGAAGCATCTGAGACTTCTAGTCTTCAGGCAGAAGAAAGCGCTCAAGATGAGCAAATACCCGTGACGCCTGTTACTCCTAGGAGAGGTAGGAAGCCTGGACAGACTAATTTAGAAAAAGTAGAAAGCAGCCATTCTGATGGACAAACATTGTCCGTCAGTGCGCAGTCCGTAGCCGTTACTCCAAGAAGAGGATTAAGGAGAGCAAAGGAAGCTGCATCTGAACTCTTGGAAGGGGCTAATGAGGAAACGCCTCTGGCTGAAGGTAGCATTATTGCTTCTGCTACTTCCAAAAGGGCTAGAGGAGGAAAAAGGTCAGCAGGAGACAGAGAAACCGGCCAGACTGGCACCGATCATAAGGTAAAAGCGGCAGTCAGTCCCAGTAGAAGTGCAAGAAAACTGAAAGGCATTAATTTACAATTGACTGAAAATATTGTCGAGGATCAAGAGGTGCAGCCTAGTGACCAACTCCTTTTACCTGTGCCAACTAAAAGAGGCAGAAGGAGAAAGATGAGTTCCTCAGAAGTTTCAGAAAATTCTGACCTTGATCTGTCTAAACCATCGCTTCCTCAAACAGGATTTAAACTTCCTGCAACTCCTAGAAGAAGTGCGAGGAAGGGGTCACAAAATCTCTTGGCAGACACAGAATCTATCGCTGCTCAGGAAGACATACATTCGGGTGGGAAAGTGGAAATCCTCGATGCTGCTGGGAGAAGAACAAGAAGAGCTCCACACGCTAAACCAGGAAAAACGGATACTCATGAGCCAAGACCTGCACAGCCAAATGAGGAATCAACCACACCCGGGACTACAGTAAGGACGGGACGTCGGGGCAGAAAGAGACGGTCGATATTTGAGGAGAGCACAGGGGAGGAGGCCTTCCCCCAAGGACCTGGTGGCAGTCCTTTGCTGCTTGAAGACATAAACCCGTCAGGACGTGATGAAACATCAAGAACTTTAACCGATCGTGTTACAAGAACCAGATCCCGCAAAACTGCCATGCATCAGAAACTGTCTGTTGAGGAAAATGAGTCCTTCCTTTTCTCTCCTCCTCTCACAAAGCTGACGAAGAAATTTAAAGGTAGGTGCATTGTGTTCATACACAAAATAGGGCATACTGCTGTCTTGTAAACTACGTAAAACAGACTGCAAGGATGGCTTTAAGTATCGTGAAGAATGTAACCATGCAAAATAAAAAATTTGGAAAGAGACAATTTGTCTTTTTTCTGTACTCTACATGACTGGCTGACTAGTGGTGGAAACAGGTGAGGAGGCTAGGCCGAGTAAAGTGAAGTGAAATGTAATCTGATTTTTTGTCATGAGCTTAATTTCTATCAATTCTGAAAACTGGAGGCTATCTGTTAATATGTGATTGCCATCCCCTCCCCCCAGCGGAGAAATAAAGGAGACATGCTTCCAAATTCTGTTCAGTTTTTAACTTAAGGTGAGCTGCATGTTGCAACAAGCCATACAGCTGTTTAATTATGTGATTGCTTTTTATGGGCATATACTTTGTTAGTGAAGTTACTGCACTTAGGTTCTTTTTATTAGACTACGTGATAATTTTTTTTTTTTTGAGATGTGTAAGGACAGTTGATGCCTCTTGAGCATGATTTCTTTGATTATATAAGTGCAGGTAAAATCACTACACTGGCTTGTTTTTGTTTCACAATTTACTGTTAAAGAACGGATCCCAAGAGGCAGTTACTAGGGGAAAAATACCTCCACACTGAGTGTTTATAAACCTGATTGAACTTTTTATTTCAGGAAGCTATTGTGGTTTTGATTATCAGCTGTAATTTAATGTCATCGTCCTTTATAATGTACATGCATGTTAACAGTAGTACATTGTCATTTTAGCTGGAAAAGCAGACCATCCTGTGCAGCTTAAGGATTTAGACCCGGACTTGTCTTCTCAATTTGTCTTTTCACCCCCTCTTTTGAGGTCAAGGAGAAAAAATGTATCTAGCATTTTCCGAATAGTGAAAGAACCAGTAAGTAAAAACTCCAGTTGTCTGACGTTCTTGATTTTTTTTCTGTATTGCTTTTTCAAATCATACTTTGCAATGTCTTCCCTTTCTCCTTGAAAGCATATCTAAAAAGAGAGCTTTAAATTAATCGGCTAAATAATGTTCTTTTTTCCTTCATGAAAACTAGCTACAAAAATCAAATTTGAATCTGTGTAAGTCAAGAATTAATAAATATTGCTTTGCCTTTAACAAAAGGCACAGTGGCCTTTTTTAAACTTACTTGGTGTGTTACCTGTCAATTTCAGAATTTTAACCATTAAGATGGTACAATAATTTGAGACGGAAGGTTTGTTTTTGTGGAGAGAAACTGTAATGCTTTTGGAAATAACTTTGTCCTGACTTCTTCATGAAAGAAACATTCATTTGTATTCTGCAGAAGTGTAAGAACCTGTGCATGAGTAACGTTTTTGTTTCCTTAACATAGGAGCTTCCAACTAAAGAGGATGAGGATACCAAATCTATAGAGTCTGTGGGAAAGCAAAAATTGAAGAGAGGTAGAACTGCGAAATCAAAAATGAAGAAAGCAAGCAAGTATGAAATTTATTTTTGAACACGTATTCGCGTTCCTTTATTGTGGTAGTGATTCATCTGTTAGCCACCTAACTTCCTGTTCTTCACTTGGCTGTGCAGTTCTGCTCTGACTTTACGAGCTTGTCCAGCTTGCTTGTCTAATAGGCACCTTTTTCCCCACTTAACGGTTCAGTTTTCTAATGGAAACAGAAGAGGGAGGGGATAGAAAAGGGCAAGTGGATACTACTCTCTGCAATGATGGCGTGCTCTTAATGTCGTCTTCTTATTCCTTACGAAACCACACTCTTACGGTCTTTCGTTCCCCATACAAGGCAGGAGGGTGTCAGATAATGAGTAAAAAGAAATTCTTGTTTCTGGACATGTTTTCTGGTTCTTTCTGGAAAACTGTTTGCAGACATTTGCCTCTGTAAAGCTGGGGTGGGAGGCTCTAAAAGCTCATGAGAGTAGTGACTGAGAATGCTTGGGACAGACAGGTAAGGAATGGAAGCAAAAGGAGGCTTATTTATGTACCTTTTCTGCCTTGATCCTATCTAGAAAGAAGCCCATAAATAATTCTTTGGCACTGATTTTGTAATTCCACGGGGTTTTTTTCCTCTACTAAATACTGTTGGTAGTTTTAAAAAAAAAAAAAAAATCAATTTGATACTTCTCTTTCTTTTTGGAACCACAAGAAAAGAAGGTTCTTGGTCACCTCCACCAGTGGAAATAAAATTCATCTCTCCTTTTGGAAGTCCAGTGGATGGAACAAAAAGCAAACAGAAAGAAACTGCAGATGTGGCAGAGAAGACTCTACGAAAGAACAAAAAAAGACTGTCTAATTTTCCAAAGCCAGTTGTGCGCCGGAAGATGCTGTAACTGTTTTTTAAATTTGTAATGTACACCACTGTTTGTAAAGTCATCAAAATTGTGTGGATTAGTAAAAAGAAAAAAATAATCTAATTTGGAAGAGATAATTTATATAAATTATTGTAAAATTTCATAAACAAATGGTCTTCAATAAGTAACTCCATGTGGAGTGTGATTTCCTCAGTCAATCCAGTTTTCTATTTTATATTAAGACTTCATACGTTTATATAATATGTAAATACAGCTTATTTTAGGAATGTTAAATAAAAATGTATACTTCACGATATGCTTACTGTCTGATAGCTTTTTGAGGGAATAGTGGGTTGAATGGCCTGTATCGCTCAGAAATTTTAACGTTGGTTTGCAAGAGGTGCTGACCCTCAAAAGTGAGGCTAAAAGCTTTTTAAGCTTTTTAAAAGTTTGCTTAGAACTCCTATAACAAGTAAACATTTAAAACATACTAGTTTAAATTTGGTAAACGATGTTTGACCTTCTGGCACAAATAATTGGGCTCACAATACAAACTGGTAATTCCTTACATTCACGGTTAAGTTGTACTGTATTGAAGTCAGAATGTAAACAATTGTATTTTAAGCTGTGCAATATTTTTTTGTATTTGTCTTAAACTTTGGCAAAGCTGCTCTTAGTTCATAAAACTAGGTCATACCTCAGATGTTTCACTATTTTTTACAACTTGTCAGCAAAAAAATTAACTGTATAGAGGGTGTGATGGTTACAATATCATATCAAATTTAAAGGGATGTTACCCACATACTTAGAATTTGAGCCAAAATTATTTTCATAAGGTCAATAGGAATGCTACTGTAATTGAAATAATTATTGTCTGTAAACATATTTTGCAATATTTGAAGCCTGCCTATCACAGCACTGAAAACCTGATGGTAAAGCTAACATAATGGTCTGGAAAAGGTACAAGATAGTACAGAATTCTTAGTTACAAAACATATTTTTGAATAATTATTTCATTAGTAGTCTTGGGTTATGGAGTAAATGTCCCTATAAAGCTTCAATTTGTAAAAATAAATTCAAAAACCTATTCTTTTAAAAGCAGACATGGAAGTAGTATTTTGATGTGCAGTCTTTTAGACACTGGATTATTTTTATGTATGATAATTTATATATGGGTGCAACTTTGCAGACTACAGAATGGTGGAACCTGACATTAAACTTTTCAGTTAGTAAAAACTACTACAGTTACTCTAAGAAATAATTTATTGGTTAACTAATACCTTGTACATAATGGATGAATGTATTAATAACAGTCTAAGCTTGTAAAAGAAGTTTCTTCTGGGGCCATGATTTTTCTATCTCGGAACAGGTCATTCTAGAGAAGCACTTGCATGCACTTGGATATTTTTCTCCTTGGGAGTGTTCATGACTGAATGAAAGCTTAAAAAAATGCCAAATGTTGACAGAGTGAAAGTGGCAGTTTGAGTGAGACCTTTCAGTCAGGTCAGTAATTATTTGCTCTGAATGTTTTGTACTTGACCATAAATTGGTCAAAGAGGAAAGGGGGGGAAGTTGTAGCAATATCTTTTTAAATTCACGTTATACAGAAATGCAGTGAATAGCTCAGAAAATGGGGTAAAAGATCAAACTTTCAAAACCAGAAAAGAAAATGGACGTCAAATCTGAAAAGGCGTTTTGTGTAGTGCACAAGAGTATTTATAAAATGCTTCGATTCCTGATCAAATAGAATTGACTGATGAAAAGCTAGTGAAGACTGCTTAATTGGACTTTGACATGTTTCTGTCACTTATACTTACAGTATATTTTTTGGTATGAAAATCAGAAGAAATGAAAAGATGCTACTAGATAATTTTATTGATAATTGGTAGTAATGTTTAGCCTCTTTATTTTATAACCAGCTCAGCTGAATTATCCTCATTTGGCAGTGCTTTGGAGGAAAAAAGGAAAGCAATAGTAATAACGGGAAAATCAGCATGAGACTTAATAACTTGTTAAAAGTTTGTGATAGTCTAGTAATTTTTTTTAGGTTAAAGGTGTTTTAATCCAATTATATGTTAAAATGTTTTTCTCCATTTTTTTTCAGTTACTTAGATTCAGTGCATAGTTCTTGGGTGCTGACCAGTTTCCCCAGGGAGCAGTTCAAAAAGAATAGGAGCGTAACCATAATGCGTAACAAGGAATGGGATTTCAGAAAGTTGAAGGGCATAGAAGGAAATGGAAGCAAACACAGGCACTGGGACTTTTTATTTAGAGCCTGAGAAAAGGACGAGGAGCTAGCTAACAGCGTCAAGGATGGGTTTATAATGAAATGGAGAAAATATATTTTACCTGAGGTTTTTTTGCGTAGGCTTGCTACAAGTATGTGAAGGATAGAGTGGAAAAGATCATTTCAACAAGGGTGAGAGAGATCCAGTGCATGAGCAGTGCTTCTGAACAGTGAGGATGAAATGGGAAGGAGACTGCCTTATAAAAAATTAAAACGGTTTGGGGGTGAGTGGCTGAGTAGCCTTGGAGTCTTAATACAGAATTGCAGGTGTTTGCACATGTATCTGAGAGGAAGATAATCATGGTGCCAGAGAAGGGCCTGAGGGGCCTGTGTAAGAAAAAGGGGTGATGCATCGTTGTGGTGGATGCATGCAGAAAGCTCTGGGGGCATAAAGCAGCAATTCTCGTGAGAGCAAGATGAGAATTTCCCAGGAGTTGCTCAGTACGTTTCATCCCTAAATAGAGTGATTCTGCAGTTTGTCCATAGGAAATTTAATTGCTTGAGGGTTGGTTGGTTGTTTTTCTGCCCCTAAGGAAGAGCTGGTGTTTCTCAAAGAGTGTTTTGATGCATCTGCTTCGATCTACTGTCAGATGGCTAAAAGCTGAAGATAAATTGCACATCTGTATCTTTGGGGCTGTAACCCCAGAGAAAAAATTACACTGGAGGGTTGACTGCCTTGGGCTAGCAGACTCACCTTTCAGAAAGAATAAACACAGGTGTAATGGCAGATCTTATTTCCAGGAAACACATGGAAGCGAGAATGAATATTAATAAGATTAAGGCCTGTTCTTAGAAGGAAATTTGTCAAGAAAAGAAATGTTTCAGTAGACATGGTTCCCTGAGCTACTTCAGAAAGTTAACACAAATATTCGTAAGAATCTTTTTCTTAAAACGTTTAGAAGCCAAGGCTGACGAAGTATTCATTCCAGGTAATAAAATGACGGAGAATTAAAGCAAATCCATTTGACTTCTGGTAGCCACGTGGTGCTTAAAATGTTGACTGATTCAAGTTGACTTAGTTTATTTACCTTAATATTTGTATACATGCCCAGTGTGCAAATAAGGCCGCAG